TCAGCGGTCAATTTGAGATTAAAATAAAAAAACTTAAGGTAAAATGTTGAAAAGGCAACTGCTCAACTACGCCCAAGAACAAGAGCTATCAAGGTTGGCTGCATTCACCAGCGAAGTTCGGCAGGAACTACATGCCTAAAAATAGTTTGCTTGTTTGTTTGTTATCCCCTTTTCCCATGGAATGGGTCTTTTTGCTGAAGCTGCTTGTAAAATCAAGGCCACGTTGATCCCCAGACTTCATTCCGCAACGTGGAAATGCGTCTTGATCACCTTCTTCCCGTCCCGATAGCGATCAAGGACTTCATTCACCTTGTCCACATCCAGCCCCTTGACCACCTTGTACTGACTCGGCTTCAGCTTTCCCTCGATCAAATACTGCGGCACACGTTCCCAGAAAGGCTTGCACACGTCGGGTTTGGCGTGTGAGCTCCCAAAGACGTTGAGCAGTTCATAACCTTCCTTCTTCGGGTGGATCTGAGACTCGTCTACCGCTCCAGTGGGGAGCAAGCGGGCAACTTTACCTTTTTTGGTCGAGGAGAGGGCGTTGATTGCGATGGTTTGCGTTTTGGGAGGGTTGATGGCGTCGTAGGCGTACAGCAAGTCATCACCAACGAGAGATCGGATGCGCTTGGTGAGTTCCTCTGGCGAGGCGTGTCGGTCAACTACGTCTGTCGCGCCGTAGGATATCAACTCAGCCTCGTCACCCCCGACCACGACGATACGTCCGATGCCAGCCAGCGCAGCGAGCTGGACGCCGAACCTCCCGCAGTTGCTGCCTCCGCCCATAATCAGTAGCGTGGTGCCTTTGTAGTCGAAGCTGGACGCGGCATCGGTCCAAGGAGCGGGAATGGCCAGCGTTGAAGCGTCAAAGAGTGCAACCAGAGGGGCAATCACATTGGTGGGTAGAGTAGCCGCGTCGTCGTCGGTGAACCCCTGAGGGATCTTGGCTGAGGCTTCAACGTCGGCGACGGCGTACTCCTGGAAACCACTCTGGGCATAAACATTGTCAAACCCAGCTTGGGCGACAACGTGGTCACCGACGGCGTACTTTGTCACATTCGCGCCGAGGGCGACGACTTCGCCCACCACGTCGTTGGTGAGGATAGCTGGTAGCTTCTCAGCGATGAACAGGCCCAAATCACGGGCTTTTTCGTCGTGTGGGTTTGGTCCAGCAACAGTGACGCGGAGGAGTACCTGATCTGGGCCGGGTTGAGGAACAGGGCGGTCTGTAACCAGGACTAGAGGCTTGCCGACCTCGGTGACGAGGAGAGCTTTCTGAGTTTTGGGAACCATGTCGTCAGGCTGTGTGTGTACGGTGATGGATATGGATTGAATAGTTGGGTGCAGAGCAAGTGATGAGAAATAGTTGATGTATGTTCAATCGCTGAAACAAAGAGTATCAGCGCGTCTCGACATCCACATCTATGGCACGTCTTTCTAGCCATTTAAATACACTTTGAAGCTCTACATATTCATTTGTCAATACAGGCCTATGATCTTGCTTGGCGATGTAGTTACTCCGGCCCCGCGGAGTCCACCACGCCGTCTCCATCACATCAATCAATCAATCAATTAATCAGGCCACAAGCACGAGCGAGGCTGACGTGGGGTTGGCTCCTGCGTTGCTTTGTGGTGGATACTAATCAGACTCACCAGTAAGTGTGAGTGGCACAGGTTGGTAGAGGGGCATTTTCGACCGCGCTTAGTAATTGCAAACTCGGGGTTTTGAAAGCAAGGGGCCACTTCCTTTCCCCAGGCACGCACAGCAGGGGCAAGGGACAAGGGGCCTTTCGGGGCCAAGGCTGAGCGAGCTGCTCGGGCTTAACAAATGCCGACAAAGTTGGACCATCAAACCATGTTACATGTGCATATCGCAGCTGAAATGAAGGATACGCATACGCTATATCGCCGAGTACTATCTATCTTATGTCCGAAAGCCTTGAGACTGCATCATTCCTGGCCAAAAGAGAAGAATATAGATAAATAATGAATTTGCTTGCACAGAGTACAGAATGCAGGGTGAAGGAACTGTGACTCGGGATCAATCCGCTTGTTTGACCGAGTTGCTACTGAGGGCGAGAAGTTGATGACAAACGCCAGTCACACTTGAAAAAAACTTGCGTTCTACGAGAATGCTGGCCTCGGACATGGAAAGAATAGTAAAAACGGCAAAGGGACAACTTTCGTCCGATTGTGTACTTGTAGCTCTAGTGATCGTTGGATTTGGTTAATGTTACCAGCCAACAGGACCTATGTGTTTTAAGCATAGTCCAGTTGATCAATTATCTCTATCGTCAAAAGGTTGTAGAACCCCTCCTTGACTGCTACTGCTCAACAAGGAATGAATGACACACGAGTCGGAGCTGTCACTTTGTCGAACTCTCCTGGTTGCCTAGGTTGAATCAACCAACAGAATGAGACTAGGTCAGGGCACGAAGACATCGTAATGAACGCCGTGAAACTTCTAACTGGCCAGCTTTTCCTCCCAAGGACCCTCTCAATTTTGATCTCCTCTAGACAGTTCAACAACGTCAAGTCGTAAAATATAGCAGTCAAACGCTGCAACAATGACACTCCATACCCCCGAACTATCCTCGTCCGATTACCTGGATCGCGTCTTCCCCATCTTCCTCTTGCCCTTGATCAAGTGGGCTGGTAGCGATGCCGTCTCGTGACGATCTGCCTCGCCTTGTCTGGCCATGCGGTTCATCTTCCGTTGGCTCAGTTTTGCCATACGCTGGGCCTTCTCGCTCTTCGCAGGGTCTGTCACTCCTGTCGCACTCACACCCAAGCCATCCGTGAGCCTGTTTGTCTTTGGCGCTCTGGACAGTGACTTCGCTAGTCTCGCAGAGGGTGTATCGTCAAGCTCCATCTCATCGGCGGCGACGGACGCAGGTTTGGCGTTGCGAATCTCTGCTCTTGCTCGGTCTGCAGGAGCCGATGCGTCAAGGCCGATGGAGGTAAAGTGCTTCTCCATTTGCCCAACTGTCCTGGATTTCTTGACCCGTGGTATCTGAGCTTTGTTCTTCAGACTCTTCTTCATGCGCGCCTCATTCATCATTAGCGTCTTCTTGTTGCGGATCAAGTCCGCTTTCATGCGGATTTCGGCGTCATCTTCATCTTCCATGCTGTCGCTCTCGTCGTAGAATCCTTCAGCTGTCAACTTCTCTTCTTCGGCCTCCAGTTCTGCGAGCCTCTGTTCAATATCGGGATCGACATAGTCGGCAATGTTCTTGCCATTGAAGAACTCGGGAATCTTATCATGCTTCCATTCTGGGACAGCAAGATCGTAAAACTTCTTTAGATCGATATTATAGACCCCTGCACCTCCATTTTCCTCTTCAATATCGCGCTCGAGTTTCCGTCTATCGGGATCTGATTTGTCGTATTTTTGGTGGGTACCGTTTCTGACGGCCTCTGGGATGTATGTCTCGCTCACCGAGCCTTCCAATGGCCTGGCCACATGAATTCGCGCAAGGAGATCGCCTAAGCGGCCTGTGGGCGCATCTGAGGTGGCGGATTGTGCGGCTTGCCCAGCCTTAAGTTTTGCTGCCACCCGATCTGCAATCAATCGATCGCAAACCGTGTTCTTCACCTCTTGAACCCCTTCGTTGGTGACGCATGACAACTGGAGAAGTTCGGTGTTGGTGTTTTGTGTCAACAAATCCTTCAGTTCTTGCTGGGTCTCGGGGTCCAAGTCCTCCGGTTTCATGACATCGGTCTTGTTCACTACGATGAAGACAAGCTTGTTGGCAAAGAGGGGTTTGATCGAATTGAAAAGCGCCATCTGTGCAGAGACTGAATAGCCACACTGTTCTGACAGATCCATAAAGTAGAGAATGGCAGACCTCAAATGTGCGATAGCGGTAATGGATTGCATTTCGATAGTGTTCATCTCTTCTAATGGGTGATCGAGGATTCCTGGTGTGTCAATGGCTTGAAATCTGAGATATTTGTAGTCGAAATGTCCAACAAAGAGTGACTTGGTCGTGAAAGCGTAGGGTTGAACATCAACGTCCGCTCGGGTGATCGATTTCAAGAAACTCGATTTCCCCACATTCGGATAGCCACAGATAAGGAGTGTTCGAGTGTTAGGATCTATGCTCGGCAATCGTCCTAGATGTTGTCGCACTTGTTCCAGATACACAAGAGGGTCTTTCAGTCTTTTGCAGATTGTGGCCATCCGGCCCAGGGCGGCTCGTTTGAGGGACTTGCATTGGAACAACGACTGGGCGTACTTGAGGAGCCGCACGTAATCTCGAGACACTGTTTCTATCAGCCGTTTGGCAGTGGACAACGTGCCCAAGGCGATTTTGAAATGGTCGGCATCATAGAGAGTATTGAGGAGGTCTTTGTGGAAGGGGTGAATATCTTGGAGTCGAGGAAACCCTTCGAGGATGGCTTGCAACTTTTCACAGAATGTTTCGGACGTGAACTTGACTTTTCTCGTGTAGAAACCTGTACAGTTGTCTCAGCAATACTTTCTTTCTCAACGCAGGTAGGAAGTTTGACCTCTAATTCGGCTAATTTTGAAGCCTGCACGAATCTGAGTAGGTAGCCGCCGCTGTGTGCGGCTAAGGACAATATCAATGAATTCCTGAGAGGTAGGAACCGGTGCAATATCCTTCCAAGTGGTCTTCATCTTGCCGGCGAGCGTGCAGGGCGACGATGTTGTGGCGATTGTGGAATCTCAAATGCGGCACAAAAATTCGCAACTCGAAATTCGCTTATCGCTTATCGGAGATATGGCAACTTTACCGAGTGCCAAGATACTATATCATTGGTTGCTCTACCAGCACCAACCAACCTGCGTTACACTATCAAAAGCAATTGAGTCACAAAAAGCCCCTCAATACCTGAGACTTGGGGCAGATAAAGTATCTGACGATTTAATTGTTTACTCTGGTATATGCTCTGACTTTTTGTTCTGCCGCAAGCCCCTGAGACCGTAGAAGATGAAGAAAACCACGCGTCCAGTTTGTCCAGTCCCAGCGTCACCCATGACCACTGCTCGCCTGCTCCTACGACCCATCCAACAATCCGACCTAGAAGATTTCCATGCCCTTCGCACTGAAATCGAAGTGATGAAGTGGACCAGAGCGGGGAAAGTCGACATTGACAAGGAAGCCACACAAATCTGGATGAACAGGTTTCTTCCACCCAACAATGCCACCACTTTCAGCTTTGCCATTGAGGAGATCGCGAGCCCCGGCAAAGTCATTGGGGTGGTAGGCTGTCATACACCGGAGCCTCCCGAGTGTGGTTACATGTTGCGCACCAACTCCTGGGGCCAGGGGTATGCCACAGAGGCGCTGCGACGATGGCTCCAAGCTTGGTGGGAGTTGCCTCGGAAAGAAGTGGTACTCGAAGAGGTAGAAAAGGGTGACGATATCGATGACACCATTGCAACGGTACCTGAGGTCTTGATGGCGGATCTTGGTGCAGAAAATATTGCAAGTGCCAAAATATTGGCCAAATGTGGTTTTCACCGGGTTGGTGAAGAGCTGATTCAACTGAACGGGTCAACCGTCAATCTAGTCACTTTCGAACTCCCTCGGCCAACATAAGAACCTCAATCACCACCTTAGTTTTGAGCCTTGGAGCCCTTTTCTTGGTCCTGTCGTTTCATTTCTTGTCGCATTTCATCCTTGATTCGTGATATCGTACCGGCGCCTCCGTATACCAAGGCAGTATAAACCATGGCCACATTGGCACCCGCGTTGAGAACCTCAAGGGCTTGTTTGCCGTTGGTGATGCCTCCAGTCGCAAAAATTACCTTGGGTTGATCGATGGATTCCAGATGGGCAGGATCGATCTCGAGTCGGTCGAGGGCGTCACGCTGTGCCCGAGGAGGAAGTCGCTCAATGGCCTCCTGAATTGACTGTAGTTGTTTTTTCTCTTCCGCCAAGCGTGCTTCTGCATCAGGTGCGGCCGCTTCCGCCACCTCGGCATTTTCTGTCTCTGGCTGTGACTTGTCAAACTGGCGGTCGCTGGGCAGAGTGAGGAGAGGTTGTTTGTCCGCACCACTCTGTTGAAGCATGCCACTGGCTGGCACATCACCACTATCAACAGATGCAGTGATCTTGTCTGAGGTCGGGGAGGGTATGTCGGCAAGGCTGGGTTCTTCAGGGCTGGACGCCAGAGCTGACTTGATCCGATCTGCTTCAGCTTCTAGCGCTCCTTTTCTTGTGCTCGGATTGTTCACTGTGTCGACTGACGCGGGCTTCTCGACTAGAAGCTTCCTGTACTTTTTCACCAGATCAACCGTTTTTTCAAAGAGGTGAGGTCCGGAAAATCCTCCTCTTTCCAGCATATTTTGTTCCTCGAGGGGTGACAGCTTTTTCAGGTGAGCAAGTGGCTCGGGTCGGCGATTCGTGGTGTTCCCGACAATGACTCCATCTACACCGGCTGCCCAGACCGCATCACATATCCCAGCAATTTCCGACTCTGAATCTTCGTCTGGGCTCACTTTAACCATTACATATGGCCTCGTTCGCCTTTGCACCGATCTAGCCGCATCCACTACTCCACTCAAGATCGTCCGCAGCTTGTCGGACTGTTGTAGTGAGCGAAGACCAGGAGTATTGGGACTGGAAACGTTGACGACTAGGATGTCTGCATATGGCCCAAGCTTCTCAACACAATAAACGTAGTCGTTAGTGACGGCCTCGACATCATCCTCTGGCGTGACTTTATTCTTGGCAATGTTGACAGCGAGTAGTTTTCCTGGAGTCAAGCTTCCGGGAGGGACGCCTGCGATACCATCAAGCACAGCCTTCTCCGCGATCTCATCATCACCAAGGCCAAGAGAGTGTGCGAACCTTCTCACCCTGTTTCGCAATCTCATGGCCACATGGTCAGCACCTTCGGAGTTGAGGCCATATCTGTTGATCATCGCTTGTTGTGATGTCAACCGGAACACACGAGGCTTGTCATTGCCCGCTTGGGGCAATGGCGTCGTTCCTCCAATCTCGATTATTGCGGGGCCAAAGTCAAACAGCACGTCCGGTATGTCGGCATGTTTATCTATACCTGCAGAAGTGGCGATAGGATTTCGGAGGCGTTGCCCGAAGACTTCGACCTCAAGGTCGTGGTTCTGGTCCGGGTCGCCGCGCTCCCGTGGATGTAGACCAAAGTCCCAAAGAGATTTCAGAATTCGATTGCCTGCGTGGTGTGCATCTTCGGGATCGCGATAGACCAGTCTCAGGGCTGGAATGACCACGTAACGGTGAATGCTTGCTCGAGTATCAGTGACGTAGACGTAGATGATGCCCAGGCCCAAAGCAAGAGTGGCGGCATATAGAACGTTGACCAGTCGAGACGGTTTCTCTTGAGAAGTGGAAGCATGCCTACGAAGTGGAGGATTAAGGACTCGAGGCCGAATCAGTAACGGGTGCGCTGGCAGACGAGGTCGTGAAGCTCTGAAGAGCAACCTCGTGGTTGAGTGTCTCATGATTGGCCTGGCAATGACACGAGTGGCGTGGGAGAGGTTAATGTGACTTATCGTCCCAAAGAAGACTGAAAAGAGTGCGGCAGAGCTGCGTCCAGTATTTTTGGTCAAGTCATCCTTCGTCTGAGTCTGAAATGCTTTGAAGCCGTCGGCAAGAAAGGGAAACAGGAGGTTGAGAAAATTATGGTGCCAGGAACAGCCACGAAGCTTCCAAAAACTCAAGGATGCTGATTGGCCAAGTGCCTGAGCTCGGCAGACCTGCGTCTTCTGTAAAGTGGTTATATGTGGCTAATTTGCGAGACTCTCATTGGCCACAATAAAACAGCTACTAGCGTCCTGCGGCTCTAATGCCAAAGTTGTGAACATCAACGAGGTATTCCAAGCCATCGTGCCATGCTCACTTGCCAGTCGAACTCCAGTATCTAAGCATACTCGGGAGTAAGTATATCCCCCAGCACTCGCTGGCGAAGCTAGGCCTCTCCAAAGTTCATTTCCGGTTCCAGACATGCGTATTCCGCCACTTAATCTGAGTCAAACGATGTGACAGACGAGATGATCTGCCATATTTGACAATTTGGACAGTGTTGGAGGTTGTGAAAAGCCGCGGGAGAGGAATTTTTAGCTGTAGATGAGGGTGCTGCAAGCATGAACCAGAGAGCGAAGACCGCAAGAGGCGATAATGTGACTTGCTTTCTGTTGGTTTACCAATCAGCCGCCGCACGGAGGATCGGGAGAATTCCCATAAATCTTCGTAGAAGAAGCCAAACCTTTCTCGAACCGGTGAGTTATTTTTTTTGGGTTGGCACCTTGAACGAAAAGCCAGTAGCATTTAAGGACCCCAGTAATGGCTCCGTTCTTCGCCTTCTCTTTCAACGAGTCTGCCGCTTCTACTCCTGAATGATCTCGGTCATAGAGTCGAAAGTGCCATGCCAGCAGCCTTGCATCAATTGGCCCAATGGTAGGTTTGCAGTATCAGGAAACTGGTTTTCTTCATATATTTGTTGGATAAGGTGTGTTTGATGATCAGACTTTTCGAGTTCGCGGTATGGGTATTTACCCGTCAGGACTCAGGACTTCGTATATCACACACCCAAACGCGAAAATATCTGTCTTCTAGCTGACTTCCTGCATCGATCGTCGATAACTGTACCATTGATAGCAGGAGCCGCTGGCTCCACCATTAATACTGGCACCTCCAAAGTCAATCAATTTCAAGCAATCAGATTTCATACACGTAATCCACGAGTTCCTGTCAAGATCATATTATAGCATCCAACATCAGCTTGGATAATACCCTTTTCATGTGCGTATCTTACACCCTCCGCGGCATCCCTTAACCAGCGAAGCTTTCGACGCAATGGGATCTTTTCCACACTCGACTCTTGAATCTTTCACCAAAGAGGCAGGCCTCGTTCCAGAATTATAGATCCATCTTCTAGGCTGCTCAGATATCTCGCAATGTTTGGAAGCGAGCCGAACCGTGCATATGCTCGACGCTCACGCTAGCGTCGCTCTCTTCGCCGCAGAAGTATCGTTTTATGACTCTTTTCTTATCGATCCCGTAGATGAGGCCCGAACCGCCGGCGGTGATGTATTTTCGTCCCTTATACAAGGAAACCGTCCAAAATCTGCGCCAATCTAAGGGAGAAGCATCTCGAGGTTTGTGGTTGAAGCACTTGTGCATCACATGGCAACCAAGAAGCCAACGCCGGAAAATGATGGGTAGGCAGGTTGGCAGGTAGGTTTCCTCAATAATGTTCCTCGGCGCGTTAGGAATCGATCGACGCGAATTCACGTGACTGGGGGCCCTACCAAGGACAAATGGATAGCGACCATTTCCAACATCCTCAACACCAAGACTCGGTCGGTATCATGTGTACTTACATCTGCAAGTTCTTGTAGGCCCCTGAAACAGTCATACCACGTCATGACACACCTCTTGGTTGTCGTGGACGAGGCGTGTATACAGTTCGTTCTGGACAAATCTCACTCATCATTGGCTGACAGCCGCCACCAAGTTCCTAGCACCTTCTACGACGCCTCGGCAACTGATTGGCGCCGAAAGCCTCCAGAAAATACGGATACGCGGATTCACACCAATTTCATCAGAAGCATGAGACGGGTCGAATGTCTAAATATACCCCGGATTTCGGTTGGAAGACTGCAAAGTACCTCATTCCCGTCACCCAATGCTCTCATCAATGTCTTATCTCGTGACTCTTGTCCACGCCAGTGCAAGGCATTTTTCGAGGCGTCTTTTTCGAGGGCAAGGCAGATTTCTGTTTCAAGTACAGGCACAGGTGTATATATATCCAGAGGTTTTGTTGGCTCAGAGTGATTTCTGAGCTCAAACACATTCGGGCTTGCTTTGTTATATGCATGTCTCAGGCTCAACAATCTTACATAACCTCACCGCAATTTGTGCCAGTTCACAAAAACTTCCGAACCAAAGAAGCGTGCAGAACGGTGGTAAGGCGACACACGACGCGTTTCCAGCCCGCCTCAGTGGCCCCGAGTTTCTGACACACCACTTCCCAAACGAGTCCAAGGAGGCATCAGGACGTCTAATAACGCTGACGCAGCACTCCACATCAGCAAACATTCTCAGCCACCGGCCAGCTGGCTGGGCCGCTTTTCGCAAGTCTGAGCATTTCGTGGCCAGGCCTGCCGGCCTGCTCAGCCTTCCGTCTGCATCCGAGCGGGCGAACCAACCATCAACGTTCCGGCTGCCAATAACACCGAGACCCCCTTTTTTGCACGTTTATCCACACTCATGACAGTATCTTGACGCCCTCTATATTATTTGGCACACAAGGTCAGTCTTGGTCACGTTGTTGTTATATTTTTCAGTCCACCCCAGATTCTTAGACAGTGTTTGCCCCTTCCTTGAAATCTACTCCCAGCAATCCGAAAAAGGCTCCTTAAGCATTTTCCAATCCAGCCTTGTATACTATTCACACGCTCCACAAAATGGCTGACGCCGACGCACTGCCTTCGTACAATGCATTGTTTCCCCAGGAGGAGGCTAACCCCGTCGTCAATGGCCGAAGACGGTACA